AGAGGGAGGGATGGGGGAGCGGATGAGGGGGAGGGGGACGGGGGAGGGGGGGAGGGGGGGGATGGGGAGGGGGGGATGGGCGGGGTCGGGGGGGGATGGGGATGATGGGGTATGGGGAGCAGGGGGAGTGGAGGAGGAGGAGGAGGGGGAGGAGGGGGAAGACAAGCTAGGTGCGCTCGCGTCATATCTGACATCCTACCCCTCCCTCTCATCCCTTACCATGGCGCAGATCCCCTCTCTACTCGCACAGTCGGATGTCGAGCAGGGCAATGATCCCGGAAGGGTACGCGATGCAGTGTAGAGCACGGCATTGCATGGCGTAGAAGAGCACCGCAAAGCGTAGCATCAACCTAGCATTGCATTGCATGCCGTGGCATGGCACGGGAAATGACGCCAGCGCTGCAGTGGGAGCACGAGTCGAAACGAGCGGAAGCGCGGACATGAGGCCAGCGCTGCAGCGGGAGCACGATTCGGAACGAGCAGAAGCACGGAAATGAGGCCAGCGCTGCAGCGGGAGCACGATTCGGAACGAGCGGAAGCACGAAAATAAGCCGGCGCCTCAGCGAGAGCAGCATTTTGAAAACAACTGCAGGCGAAAACCCAACTCCGGGGAAACCTGTGTGTAAAACATCAGTACGCCGGGGGGGGGTCGAGCACTTTCAAACCGTCATCAGGGGAAGAGGGAGAGTACTATCCATATTGAGTAACTGCGGAGGAGGAGGAGGAGGTGGAGGAGGAGGAGGAGGAGGAGGGAGGAGGAGGAGGAGGAGGAGGTGGAGGAGGAGGAGGAGTTTGAGGGTGGAGGAGGAGGAGGAGGAGGGAAAAGGAGAAGGTGGAGGAGAAGGAGGAGGAGCAGGAGGAGCAGGAGGAGCAGGAGGCGGGAGGGAGGAGGAGGAGGAGGAGGAGGAGAAGGAGGAGGAGGAGGAGGAGGAGCAGGAGCAGGAGGAGGAGGAGGAGGAGGAGGAGGAGGAGGAGGAGGAGGAGGGAGGAGCAGGGGCTCCAATGGACCACACTACTGTCCCAAGAGCGCCCAGGAGCGCTTCTTGGGCTTTCTTGGAGCCGTCTCGGGGCTCTCAACACCCATCATAAGCAACATAGCGAACATGCAAACAGCATCGGCTTGATTAGGCTTGGGGTGGATGTAGGCTTCTCGGGGAATCCTGAAGACTCCGTGGGCACTTGGAGCCAGGTTGGAACAGCCTTGGGGCACAATTGGCATCTTGGAACCTATCGTAGGCCATCTTCGGATACGTCGACCCATCTTGGATGCCATATTTGGCTTTCTGAGACCCTCTCGGAGCTATCTTGGGCCATCATCTTAGACGCTCTAACTCCCCCCCTTCCAGTCCAGACCCAGAGAACGGGGTCGGGTATTGCAGGGTAATGCAGGGTTGGCTGGCAGAGTATTGCAGCGCACTGCAGGGTTTGTTTTTTGTTGTATGGTATTTCAGATTATGTTTGCATGGTGTTGCAGGGTATTACAGGGCCGTGGAATTGGCTTTGCTGGGCGGCTTTGCAGGTAATTGCAGGGTGTGCGGCGAGGTCCAGAGGGGAGGGAGGGGAGGGAGAGGGGTCAAGCTACCCACCCGCCCTCACGCCGTCTAGTTCACTCCCACCCGCAGTCCCTACACATAAGTAGTACCCGAGCCTGAGCATGTTCAGCGGTCGTTTTTGGATGGGCATGGGCAGCTACTGGGAGTCAAAGCCGACCCCAGGTGCGCGACGCTTGGGCGAGGTGCGCCACTCGTGCAAGGGGCGCCACGCGCGCCAGGCACCCCTGGGGCCTGAGCGTGCCAGGCACTCCCGGTACGCCAGATGCGCCACGTGCTTCGAGTGCGCCAGGTGTGCCGCACACTCCAGCCGCGCCAGGTACGCCACGTTCGGGGCACGTGCAGGGTGCATCAGGTGCGCCTGCGCACGTGACAGCACATATTGGGAAACATGCCAGCCCCCGCCATCTTTGTCGGAAACCAATGCCCATCATTGTGTCTGATGGGCCTGCGCACAGCAGGCCACGCGATATCACCCCTGCCGTCCCTGTCAAAAACCACTTGACAGTGATCGCGGGATGGCCGCGCATGATCCAGATTTTGCCGCGAGGTGCATGTTGTATTGTTTTTTGTCAGGGACTGTAGCCCTGCGCACGGCAGGGAATATGCTGACACCCCGCCGTCTCTGTCAAAAACAATACAAGGCGCTCGCGGGCCTCACGACTCGAGACATTGCCCCAAAGTGTATTTTGCACTGTTTTGTTGACAGGGATGGTGGGGGGGGGCGCATCGGGTTGGCCGCACATGCTCCACATGTGGAGGCAGAGTGCGGCTTGTATGTTTGTTGACAGTGATGGTTGGGGGCGGGCCCGCACGGAGTCGGCATGGCTCCGGGTTGGCGCCGGCTGGTGGGGGAGGGGGTGTATATTAGTGAGGAACAGTGATCACATTAACTATGAAGCTTGAAGGAGAAGCGCTCTAGACCTCCTCCGCCCAGAGGGCTGGTGGGATTTCCTCCTACTCCCTCCTCCTCCGTCCCCTCCCCCTCCTCCTTGCCTGACCCCTCTCCTTTGCCTCCCTCGAGCCCTGGACTGCGAGATACCCGCGCAGCCGTTTTGGCCCAGACGTCCGCGGGTGTCCCCAATCCTTTTTTTCTTTTTGGTCGCTGGCCGCGTCCACCGCGCACATCGGTGACCGGGCGCGCGATGTCTGAGCCGCGCGGGTTCCCAGAGGTGACCCAGTACATTCAGGAGGGGAACAAACACACAGACACAACTGAGCGTCGATTCCCTTCAAAATGTAGGGAAATATGGAAAGTGGGGGGGAAGACGACAATCCAAAAAAGATGGGAAAAGATTGGGAATCCTGGATTTTGTGTGTATATTTGGTCGTGTGCTTCCCTGGCCTGGGCCCCTCGACACATGAGCTTCTGCCAGGGCTCCTCGGAGGCTCGGCCCGCGGCCGTTTTCTCGGGCGGGGCCAGGACAGGGACGAACGCTGCTGCTGAGCGTGGCGGCTCCGCTCTCTGAGGAGGCCGCGGCGGCCGACGTCTCTGCCGGAACCGCAGGCTCTCGGAGATCCCGGATGCGTCCCTGTCCGAATGGTTCGTCCCTGTCCTGATTTCGCGGCACACTTGCGTTCGATGCTCGTTTTGGGGACCTTCCTGGGGCCCACCTGATGGATCTGTTCGACTCAGGTTCGACTCAAGTTCGACTCAGGTTCGACTCAGGTTCGACTCAGATTCGACTCAGGTTCGACTCATGTTCGACTCAGGTTCGACGCAGCTTCGACGCACGTGTGGAGCGAGTGGCTCCAGGAAGGTCCCCAGAATGAGCATCTAACTTGCGCACCCTCTGCTGCCTCTGCTTCTGCAGCTGCCATCTCCGCCGGGGCATCGGCAACCCCCACAGAGGGAAAGACTCGGTGGCAGTCGCCCCCTCCACGTCCTGAGCCCCCGCTGCCCCAGAAATTCGATCGGCAGGGTCTTGGCACGATCGGCATGGGCTCGGCAGCAACGGGGACGACGCGCGACAGAAGTCCCTGCCCAAGTTCGACCACCTCTCTTTGTCGGTGTCGCCGCGGACGTCGCCCGTTTGAGACAACAGGCCGCCGGCCCAAAAGCGGCCGCCGATGGCTCTGGACAACACCCGCGGTTGGGCATAGTACCCACTTTTCCGTACCCCTTGCGAGCGTTGGGTTCGCGTGTAGTTGCTTGGCTGGGAGGCTGGCACGCGCGCGTACAGTGCCGTTTTCTTGAAACTAGCGCCCGCGCTGGCGTGCGGATCATGTCCTAAAATTGCAGGGATTTAGTGTTTAAAACAAGGATGAGTTCATGCATACACTTATTCATAAACTAGTCATGCACTGAAAACCCTATATGTTTTTTAAATCACATTTCAGAAACTGCCCTGTATCGAACAGAAGCTCCAGGGCCGCCGGCACCGCTCCCGGGTCCGCCGGGGGTGCCGCCAGGTCGCCGCCTCGCGGCCGCAGGCCTCGGGGGTCCCCCGAGGTCTCGCCGCGCCGCCGCCCGTGGCCGCCCACTCGTGGGGGGGGGGGGTGCGCCGAGGCCTCGCTGCGCCGGCGCCGGCGGCGAGGCCTCTGCTCGCGCGGCTGCTCCTCCTGCTCCTCTCCTCCTCCTCCTGCCTCCTCCTCCTGCGCCTCCTCGTCTCCTCCTCCTGCCCTACTCCTACTCCTCGTCATCTCTTCCTATCCCTCTTCTCATTCTCCTCCTCCTCCACCTCCTCTTCTCCTGCTCCTACTCCTCCTCCTCCTCCTCTCCTCCCCTCCTCATCCCCTTCCTGTTCCTCCAATTCCTTCTTTCCCTCCTCCTGCATCTCCTGCTCCTCCTCATCCTCCTCCTCCTTCTTCCTATTCCCCTTCTCCTCCTCCTCCACCTGCGCCTCTTTCCTCTCTCCTCTTCCTCCTTCCTCCTCGTCCCCCATCCTCCTCCTCCTCCTGCTCCTCCTCCTCCTGCTCCTTCTCCTCCTCCTCCTCCTCCTCCTCCTCCTCCTCCTCCTCCTCCTCCTCCTCCTCCTCCTCAGCTGCTCCTGGCACAAACCCTCCCATCATGCAGCATCCATGAGCGTACCGCACACCCTTCCATTACACATTCTTTGTGGCCTCGCCGCAGACGGTCTCGGGGCGGGAACGCCACGGGACGCACCCGCCCTTGTGGGCCCATGGGTTCTTTTCTCAGATTGGCACTTTACAATCCTCTCTCTTTGGTGGAAGTGGACAGACCTTCTCAGATATGGAGAGAAATACATGCAGATATAATCGGCTTGGCAGGCACCAGGATCCGAGCACCACCAGGCTTTCCCGTTCAAGAGTGGCAGCTCGAACACGGAGGCTTCGGACTCTCAGCGGGCTGGACATCGGCCCCCTTTTCGAATCGACCAGCTGGTTGTATGTTGATGATGACACAGAAGATGCGCAGGGGGATACGGACGATTGCGACCCCACCACCGTCGGCGCAGGGCCGCGGCCTCGCCGTGCGGATCGTCCGAGGCTCCCTCGACCTCACCATTGTATTGCTGTACCTACCCCCGCTGAAGGACGACAGTGCTCGCAAGCGACGGGCGCTGGAGAAAGGATCTCGAGAGCTGGTTCATTGGGCGACACAACAGATCAAGGTTGCGCCAACCCGATCGACACCGATTGTTATGGGCGACCTGAACACGGGCAAAGGCTTGAGGAATGGCTCGCTGTTGTCCCATCCACAGTTCGAGATCGAGGCGAGGGGCTCCCTGGACAACATCGGCGGCCACAACCTGGGCAATCATACCGTCATTGGCGATCAGATTTGGGAAGATCTTATTCTACCTCATAACATGATGACTGTTGGCAGTTTCTATGACGCAGCTGGGCCCACATATTATCTCTGTGATGGATCGACGAGTACTGCTGACCATATTTTGATGCCACTATCGATTCATGACCAGATTAGACGCAGTTTTATCCCATGGAGTTCGGCTCGGCGCCTGCAGTTGATACCGAGCGCGATGCCGAGGGACCACGTACCAATCATCGTTGAGTTCACGGCCTACCAGCACCGCAACCTCGCTCCAGACACCTTCCGCTGGGACCGTGATAAGCTGGCGGCGGCTCTGCAGGACGGCACCAACCGACTGGACTTCCAGGAAGCCCTGGAGACCGTGTTCACCGAGTGCACGGAGCTGACACAGTACGGCGACGACGGGGACATCGACAACTATTGGCAGACTTGGGCCACTTTGGTGAGGACGTGCGCACAGCGTTTTTTCCGGCCAAACTCAGCGCACAGAGCGTCCCGAGGCCGTCCGTCTTCGGGAGCGACGTCGCGAGCTGGTACGACTCCGTGCTGCGGCTCGGGAGCGGCTGGGGGGCCAGGGCGAGGAGTACGCAGGCGTCCTGAAGCACCAGCCCATTCTCTTCCCAGAGTACCAGGAGCTGCAGGACAATCGCACCACCCTTCGTCAACTGCGACGACGGGAACAGGCGGAGCGACGGCGACGACTCGAGCATGACATCCATGAGGCCCACCGACTTCGGCGCCTCGCGGAGGTGCATCGTCTTTTTTTCTGCTGGCAGCCCGTTGCGGGGGACCCCGCAAGAGGAAGTGCCGTGTTCCCACGCCCCAGTCGTCGAAGGAGGAGTGGAGGAGTTACCTTGCGGGGTCGCCGTGCGAGGGAGGCATGCACGCCCAGGAGGTCGATTACGCGAACGAGCTCGAGATTAGGCCAGAGTTTTTCGACGCGACCGAGGTGCCTGCCGAAACTAACGAGGAGCATCGGTTTTGGGCCGAGAGAGATCTCCGGGCTACCCTCAGGTTCCAAAAAAAGCGCCCCAAAAGACGAGCTGCCCCTGCCTGGAGCGTACCGGCAGAAGTTTTACTGCTGGCAGCCGAGTCTAGTTATGTTTCACGTGCTGATGAGCCCCGACTAGGACTGGGAGCTGAGCGAGTAGGTGAGCTACCCCCCTCTCAGGCGCATACCCATCTGGAGCAACTACATTGGTGGATTCGAGTTGTGAAGCGAGTACCGAAGCTGGCCCACCTCTCCTGGGGATGTCCGATCTTGAAGCCGAACGGAAAGCACGGTCCTGGGGGAACGCCTCGTACACGTATTTTCCCCCTACTGGAAGGGCTTCTATGGAGCCGCTATGCGACGAGGTATGCAGTCACAAACTCAGGACTGGTCGGCTAATTCCCACGGGTTTCTGCCCGCACGGCGTCGTGAAGACGCCCTTGCAGTTCAGCTCTGCGTGGGACATCGACTACGGAAGCGAAAGCAGGCTCATCTTAATAATCTCCACGATATGTCAAACGCTTTCGCTTCCACCACGCCCGAACCTCGTCGTCGAGCGATCCGTGATCTCGTCCTCCCCCGATACCAAGAGCTGTTTGAACACCGAGCGGAGCATGCTGCTATCTTCCTGGGCTTTGTCGAAGGGGGGGATGAGCCATGGAGGGATACACGGAATCTTGTCATACGACACGGATGTGGAGGGTTGATGGGATCTAGCGAGGAGCCCGTTATCTTTGCCAATTTTATGCAACGACCTTTTCACGCCTGGCGCTCGACACGACCAGCGGAGCTGGCCATTACATTGCAGTGCGGTATCTTTCCCCGCCAGATCGACGGCGGCGCGAGTGTCTTCGCTGATGCTATCTTTGATAAGATTATTGTACGCAGTGGCGAGGCTGGTGAGGCCCATCTTCTCACGCAGCAGAGTGATGCGACCCTGGAGGAGGAGTTGCATCAGGTAGGCCTTCTCCAGAATAAGGGGAAACGTGAAATCGTACCCAGCTTGCGTCGGTCCCAGGAGACCAAGAGGTTTAAGGAGCTCACTCAGGAGGGACAGGTCTTACCTCTGGCACGGTGTCTTGGAGGCAGATACGCTTGGAACTTAGCGACGATGGAGGAGCTGCAGTTTAGGTGTTCAGCTATGAGAGTGGGTTGGGCAAAAATGGGAAGTCTGTGGGGGAGCCGTAGATCGAGCAAGCTGAAACTTTTGGCGTTCCAGGGGCACGTTATTGAAGCTGGTTTATCGGCAAACGAGGCCTACGTTTTCCCTGAACAAATGACCAACCAGATGGGCACTATCGTAGCCAAGTACTTAAGAGCTTTGGAGAGGGGCAAGGCTACATATTGGAGTGGCAGCCATCCCCAGAGCCTCCCTCACGCAGTTCTTCGACGTAGATGGAAGGTGGTTCCTATTAGGTGCGCACAAGCCTCAAGACGCTTTGCCTGGGCCCAGGAGATGGCCCGAGACCCCAGGGCCCACGCCCAGGTTATTGCTGCTTTCTGGGGAACCCTCAATGATGGACCTCCCGCTTTGGGCCCACAAGGACGCCTCGCACGAGATGCCCCACCTCTGGCGCACCAAGTAGAAACCGACTTGTGGCTGTGCGCTGGCACCAGCGGCACCGATGATTTTTTCGAGCGATGGAGTGAGCACGGCTACTCGTACATCGCATTGTTTGATGACGACGAGGTGCGAGATGCTTGGCTTCGCATCGACCCGTCGATCCTTAAGGCGGCGATCTTGACCGACGGCGAGACTTTTTTTCAGAACTTGCGAGGGCCTGCTCGCACCGTGGCGCCCCCGACGGAAGAAGAACAGACGGCATTCGTGCGTGCGCTTCGCGACGAGAACGGGGCCCTGATGCCAGACCTTCGAGACCCACGGGGCCCTTACTGCTCATATGTGCCAGTCTCGGGGTGGTGAACATGGCAAACGAAATTTGCTGTTCACGTGCGTGATCTGTAACGAGTGCCCATGGTGCCGTTCGACGTTTTCGACGCGTGATAGTGCCCGCCAACACGTTCGATCGTCTTGGGAGAACCTCAAATGTTGCCTCGGTCGGTCTCGTTTCCCGTGGCCCCTGAGTTGCCCCAGCACCATCAAGTGCACCTACCGCGACGAAACCTTCGAAACCATGGGCGAATACAACACACATGCCGTGCAGCAACACCTTCCTCATCCTTCGCCCGTGGCAGTTTCTTCTCAGACACCTCATCGTTCTCCGACGCCAGCCGACAGCCAGCCGCGTGGGGGCCACCGACCCAGACCAGACTGTGATGTTCGGGCCTCCTGGCGGCGGCGCCGCGGCGGCGGCGGGCGAGGGGGGGGGGGGGGGGGGCGGAGGATCCCGCCGTGTCCGACAGCGCGGAGAGGGCGAAAAAAAGACCGACCTCGGCTTCAAGGGCCAGCAGAAGACGACGCAGGTGCTGATACTCCAGTTCTTGCTGCAGCTCGGGCAGTCGAAGAGGAACGTGGAGGGGGTCGTCTTCGATTGCGTCCTGATCGGCACGAACAGCCACGAAGCGACAAAGATGAGCGAGATGGGCACGACGTACTCGGACGCGGTCGCGGCTCAGGGCCGCGGCCACAGCCTCGGGCCGCCCCACCTCTGGGTCTTCGGGGGCCTCTTGATGGGCCTGATGGAGCGCAAGGGGGCAGTAGGGGCACAGAACGCGAGGAAGCTAGCCGAGCTGAGGACCGAGCTCGAGAAGATGGAGGCCATCGCCAAGGCCGACAAGATCCGATTCTGCAAGGTGGACAGATGCTACGATCAGAACACAAAGAAGGTGCTGTTGAACCTCGACCCCGCGATCCGCCCGATCATCCTCGACAGCCTGGCCCAGACGGGCGCGGAGCTGAAGCAGGGCCGTGCGCCGCCCACCCACATGGAGAGAGAGCTCCAGGAGTGGCTCGAGGCGTTCACGGACGCGTGAGTGCTGAAGGGGATCGAGGCGTTCCTGATGTTGTGAGTGCTGAGAGCGGGGCTCGAGGCGTTCGCGATGTTGTGAGTGCTGATAGCGAGGATCGAGGCGTTCCACATTTTGTGTGTGCTGATAGTGTTTTGTGTGGTTCCTCTCATGATGCTGATATGGTGCTACCTCCTGACAATGAGCGGGCTCGACGATCATTGTCTTCCTCACCTCGTGCTGCGGCGAGACCTTCGGCCTCGACTGCTGCGCCCTCCTATTCCTCGGCCAGAGCCGCGCGACCTCCGACGCTGCCCTCGACTTCTGGGCCGCGCTCCCCTCGCGCCACTACGACTCCCAGGGCGACTGCGCGCCCCAGCGGACCGACGACGGCCACCCCTTCCTCTTCCTCGGCGCGGCGGCCCCGCACGTGCAGCCCTAGGTACGGCCCGTCCTCGTCGTCGGCTGAGTTTTGGGAAGCTGGGAAACGTGAGGCCCCTGATTCAGTGTGTGTAAATACGTATCTTGAACGTATGGGGGATCCATCAGAGGCACCCCAAATATCAAATCATGTTTCGGAGCCAGCAGATTTTGACACTAGCTAGACGAGAATTCGAGCAGGTGCAGATCTAACCCCCCTCTCGGGTCCCTGGGCCCGCGTGTCGTTGTCGTTCGTTGCCGCCGTCCGTCTGTCGCGTCGTCCCTCTCTTGCTCCTGTTGGGCTCCGTTTTGGGTGATGCGTTCCGGGGGCGGTCTCTGGGGCTCAGGACGCTAGCCTTCGGCGCAAGCCTCGGAGGCACTCCTGCCCTGAGCCTGATCCCACTATCGGGGGTTTTCCTCCGAGCCCGGTTTCAATCCGTAGTTGACCAAGACAAGAGGTTCTCTGGAGCTCTGATCCTGATCCTGATCCTCCTCCTCCTCCTCCTCTTCCTCCTCCTCCTCCTCTTCCTGTTCCTCCTTCTCCTCTTGCTCCTGCTCCTCCTCCTCCTCCTTCTCCTACTCCTCCTCCTCCTCCTCGTATTCTTCCTTCGCCTCCTCCTCCTCCTCCTGCTCCTCCTCCTCCTCCTCTTCCTATTTCTCCTTTGGTGGTGCTGGTGGTGCTGGTGCAGGTGCTGGTGCTGGTTGTGGTGGTGGTGGTGGTGGTGGTAGTGGTGGTTGGTGGTTGGTGGTGCGGCGCGGTGGTGGCGGGCGGATGGGCGCGGGAGAAAGAGGCCCGCGCTGGGGCGAGAACGCCATCCTGAACGACGGAGGCCAAACATCGATCCGAAAATGAGGCCCACGCTGCAGCGGGAGCACGATTCGGAACGATTCGGGAGCAGAAATGAGGCCGGAGCCTCAGCGAGAGCAGCATTTTGAAAAAAAAGCAGGCGAAAACCCAACTCCCGGGAATCCTGTGTGTAAAAAACAGTACGCGGGGGGGGGTCGAATACTTTCAGGCCGCCATCGGGGGAAGAGGGAGAGTAGTATTCATATTGAGTAATTG